CATCTACACAAACAGTGTTTTTTAATATTGTCTTGTAATTTCAGGGACACTTTCTGTGGCTTTCATATGTCGAGAGGCTTTTTTTTTTATCCTCCACTAAAAGTGAACTAGAACAAGGCCAGGCAGTGGCTAAGCACCAGGGATATTACTGCAGAAGCAGGGTTGCAAGCAGCGTTGGGATTCCGCTTGCGTGCACCAGTGGAAGGAAGGGGTGCTGCTTGGGCAGTGGAGGACAGAAGTAGTGCTTTCCATTGACATTTCAGACCCACAGTGGCTGCACGTGAAACGGCATGGCATTTTTGGTGGCTTATCCGTTATAACTGAAGAGGGAAATGAAGTCAACACAAGACTGTCATTGCATGAGCAGCAGCTGATGGCAATGCCGGAAATATCCTTGGGAGAAGCACCACCTCTTTCTCACCAAAAAAGGCTGGGGGTGGGTGTAAGAATAGCAGAGACCTCCATTCCACACAGCAGCCAGGAGGCTGGTGTTAGTCGTGGGAGACCCACTTCCCTCTACTGTACCAGTCACAGCAGCCAGTAGGATTTAGGGTTCAGAATGGCAGGTGAGAGGTTCTCCTCCCTTCCTGCAGCTAGATCGGGGAAGGGGGCTTCAAGGTTACCAGTCCCATCTGAACAAGAGACTAATACAAAAGATAGTGTCCCATAGCAGAGCCCAAGGGCACAGCCTGGTAAGAATCCCAGGGCCTTTCTCCTTCCCAGCAATGTGGGGGGTGCGCCTGGCATTGCCCTAATAGACCTCTGGTTGGATGTTCATCTCCACCTGTGGCTAGCAGGTGTTTGGTAAATTTTCTGGAGCCAGTTCATATAAAATGAGTTGTTGGTTTCCATAGCACACTGGAGTTTACATGGAGGAAAAAATGGCCTTTTACAGTTGACACCTTGGTCAGCAGTAGGATGAGAAGCCAAGGTTTGAAGGAACGTGGGGCTAAGCTGCCTTCTCATTCCTTGAGGGCAGAGTAACTTAGGGAAGCCTGTTCCCAATACACTGAAATGGAAACTAAGTACACCCTTTGCACAGTCAGGTAACTGACCATTGGGATGCATTACATTCTCCATCACTTGGTGTGGTCAGATAGAGCTTGGATGGCTTTCTAAAAGAGAGAGACTAGTTCAGTTGCAAGTTGTTGGGGTTAGAGCAGGGTTCGGCAACCTTTCAGAAGTGGTGTGCCGAGTCTTCATTTATTCACTCGAATTTAAGGTTTCGCGTGCCAGACATACATTTTAATGTTTTTAGAAGGTCTCTTTCTCTAAGTCTATAATATATTAACTAAACTATTGTTGTATGTAAAGTAAATAAGGTTTTTAAAATGTTTAAGAAGCTTCATTTAAAATTAAATTAAAATGCAGAGCCCCCCCCAGACCGGTGGCTAGGACCTGGGGAGTGTGAGTGCCACTGAAAATCAGCTCGCATGCCGCGTGCCATACGTTGCCTACCCCTGGGTTAGAGGCAGGAATCTCAGGGTGATGTTCTCTGACTTGTGTTACGCAGGAAGTCCATCTAGATGATCACAAGGGCCCTGAACCTTAACATCTAACAACTTCTGTGATTTTTTTTTTAATACATAACTTCTCTGTCTAACATTTATTAACCCAGCACCTTTCACAAGCAATGACATTTGCTTGAGCAAAAGGGATGACAGCTATGTTAATAGGCCCCACTTCCTTGGGTATAGAGAAAAGAACTCAACTAGGTACAGTTGGGTAGAGAACTTTTTATGAGGATTTGATGATTTTGTTAATGTTAGTCAGTAGGGGTAATAATCTGAGAATTTTTCACATTCTTTGTGCTTTTCTCTTGGGATTATGAAGGTAACTCCCCTCTGTTTTTTTTTTTTCCTTACTCAAATCCCTAAAATATCCATTGTACTTTGCCAGGTTCCCTTGCGGCGTTCAGCCCATTGCCTGGGAGACGACAAAGTGCAGTTCACTGTAATAGGCGCGTGTACGTCTGTATTGTGAGCAGCCTTTGCACAGCTGGGTGGGAGGGGGGTTTTGTGCCTGCGTGGCAGCAGAAGCACTAGCCACAAAAGGCCCCAAGCAGGATGGAGTATAACAAGGAGGGAGGGGTGAAATTAGGCTAAATAGTGAGGCTTCACAGTGAGATCTATGTAATTGGAATCCCCCAAGAGAAATGGGAAAATCCCAGTGCCTGAGAATCTTAGAGCTAGACTGGAAAAAGCAGAGTATGAGAGTAAATTAGGGAACAATCCTGCACTGGCTTTGGAATGGACCGGTTGCCCTCAAAGGGCTTCTCCATCTCTACATTTAAAAGAAGTGAGAAGGAACGCACTGTCCAAGTACTGTGTAATTGTGGAGATGGCAGCATGCATGCATCTCTTTACGTATATATTGTGAGCGTGTATGTAATGTATTTTTTTAGGGTTCCCCAATACTGATTTTACTATAAAAACAATATTTTGGTGCCGAACTAACTTTTCAAAGTGAAATAGATTTTTCTGGACTTAGGAAGGTTGTAGGAAATGAAATACTGTGGCTTTTTTTTTTTAAGGTGTGCAAAATATGTCCCTTCAACCTTGATAGAAATTTTATCTGCTGTTGAATTTGTAAACCAGTAAGAATAAATGGTATTTGTGTTCATAGTAACTGACTTTGACTTTCTTGAATGTGCGCTTTATCGCTTTAGATAAGGGAATGCGTTCAGACAAAAGAAGTTGCTCCGGAATGAAACATTTTGAGGAAGTATTTCTCTTCACGTTGACCAGTTTAGAAAATGAGAATTGTCATTTTTTTTAAGCAAATGCAGATGGGTGCAAACAATGACAAAATGTGTAAAATGTTTTCTAGCAGTTGTGGGACTAAGGATTCTTTTTATAGAGAATATCCTGAAGTGTTCAGAAAGCGAAAAGTCTGTGAGACTTCCACATTGTCAACATTGCGCGTTCATTTTAATGCTGCTGGTTTTTCATATATTTATAGGAAATTGGCTTTGGTAATTGAATTTCTAAAGAACCACAGTAACCAATAGCAGTTTCCTTCTAAAGGTCACTGTTGGGTTAGTGAATATAGGAAGTACTGTATTTAACTCCTCATGGTTTGTACTGCTCTTCCGGAAACGTTAGCCTAAATTTTCAAAAGTGACGAATGATTTTGAGTGTCCAATTTGAAACACCTGAAAGGGACCTGATTTTGCAGAAAGCACCGAGTCACATTTTATAAAAATCAGGCTCTTCCTGGTGTGTCTGTGCCCTCAAAAATTGATGCACCTACTCATGAAAAGCTGGTCCATAAAGGCTTTACCTATTCTTTTGAACGGAGGTGAAATCAAATGTCTGTTCCACTACGCTGACTTATCCCATCAAAACATCTTTGTGCCCCTCCAGTATTGTCTTCGCACAGTTCTGTAACGTCTCTGTGTGTCTGGTTCTGTAGGAACAGTGGTACATCTGGTTTTCTTTAAGCCTCCAAAACATGTCTGCATGTTTTTTGTGTGGGGGAATTAGTGGTGTTCCACTGAGTACACCTTAATGACCTGACATACGCTGGAGGTGTTCTGAAAGTAGGCAGTCCCAGGGGTGGGTGATTGTTCTACACTTGAAAGAACAAGAACAGAGGTGAGTGCTAATTAAATAGGAACAGTAGAGAAGAGTAGGTGCTGCTTGTCCTCCATGCAACTGGCACCCCCAGATACTTTGCTTGTGAGAGCTCACTGTAGTAAGTATCCAAGCTTCTTCCCTTCCAGAACGGAACTGGAATAGCCGCTATCGAACATAGTGCACATAGAGCTGAGCATGGGTGAGAACTTGGTTTGATGGCAGTGTTTTAGTAGGGGGATAAGAAGACAGGATTTTTTTATGGAGCCAAAAATAAAAAGGCATCTAAAGCAAAGGTCCAAAGACAACTAAAGGCACCACTCTACTTCTCGTAGTTTCAAATGACAATTCTTTGTCTTTAGTGTGTGTGTTTAAATGGAATCGATTTAATGTTCTCCTAAAAAGGCAGCAATGCCCCCAGCTCCACGTAGCCTGGGAGGTTAAGGGATTTGCTAGCCGAGGAATCTAATTTTACGAAAGTGTAAGTTGGAATCTTCACTTGGTGGTACCGACAAATTGGTATAGAAAATTCCATGTTCCGGGTCTCGACAGGAGATTGTAAATCATGCTCAGCTGATGTTGCGTGTTCTAATAATGGCATTTTAAAAGATTACATGGATTTCAATATGAACGTTTCACTTCTTTATACTGTCCTTTGTGGGCTTGCTTTTTATTTTTTTAAATAGTTGAACCTGGTTTGATGCAGCATTCTTGGAACATACAGACCGTGTTAGGGTTTTACTGGCTGGAATGAAGTTACTAGTCCTCCTAAAAACATGAGAATCTTGTTTGAATGTCTTTATAACCAATTGGCCTGAAATAGTCTTTTTACTAGGAATACTTTTTTTTTTTAAAAGGTAGGCTTTATCCATAGAAGATTAAAGAGTAAGTAGATGCACTCTACTAAAAATGAGCATTGTTAAAAGGAGCTAAATTTGGCTATAAATTTGGCCATTTGGTAAATTAAAGATACAGCGGTTTCCCCTCCTGCAGTTATAAATGCAAACTCTTCAACACTTTGTGTTGTCTTGGGCCATTCCAATACAACAAAGAAGGCGCAAAGTTATTCAGTCAGGGAGACTGGAGCAGTTGTGAACTTGTTACAAAATAATTCTTCATAAGCTGAGCAAACACACGCTAAAATGTACAGTAACGTGGTCACGATAACAGTTCCTTTTGTCTTTGTGTGTATGTGTGTGTACAGTGTATATTTTGGCTACTGCCTCCCCCCAAAAAAGGTCTGTCCGAGGTTAAGCCTAAACTTCGTACCAGAAGAACACTGAATTTGTTTTGAGCCAATTGTGCCAGTCTACAAACTCAGGCCATCTTTAGGGGAATTGTCACGGTGCAAGACAGCTATGGGTGGTTCATTGCAGGGGAGGGACTGTGAGATCAGAAACAATGTGTGTAACGGAGTTCACTCACTGTGGCAGCGTCTCGTTGTGGCCAGGTCTCTCTTCCGTAACTCGGCCCTCCAGCCAGGTTGCAATATTTATGTCCTCCCTTGTTGGGGTAACAAAGTTCGACAAATAACAGTCTAATGCCCTTACAACAGGTCTTTAGCATCAACTCTGGGACTCATGATCTAGGCACCCTCTTGGCATGTCCTTGTCCCCTTTGATCAGGAGGCTTTATGCCACTTTGCCAGTGGCTGGTAGGAGAACCCCGGACCCTCCCTCTACACTGGGTTCCAGCCCAGGGATCCTGTAACCAGAAGCCAAGGTCTCCACAGTCCTATTCTGGGCTTCTTCCTATCCAGCCTTTCTCAGGATTTCTTCCCCACAGCTTCTCTGGGTTGACCCTTCTTTCAGGGCTAGGATCCCAGGGCTTACTGTCCTCTCCCCGCCGTCCTGGGTTTCCTCCTCGTCACCTCTCTGTTCCCAGAAAGTGACTGCAGGTTCCTTCCCTACGTCCCTCTTCTGCTACAAACTTCCTCTCTGTAGAATAGGTCATTTGCAGTGTTGCTGCAGCTGTGTTGGTCCCAGGATATTAGCGAGACAAGGTGGGTGAGGCGAGCTTTCACCAGCAGAAGTTGGTCTTAAAAAATAGATATTCCCTCCCACACGTTGTCTCTCTTCATGATAACCAGCCTGCTGCCGCCCAGATGGGCTTCACGTTAAGCCTGGCTCTCCCTCCAGGTGCAGCCAGGTACCAAAATTGGCCTCTCGGGCCCCATTAACCCCTTCAGGCGCTGTGTGGGGCACACACACCCCGTCATACTTTGCCATTCATTGTCCTGACTGAGAGAAATAAAGTACTCTGTGTTCTCTCATAGGGCCCTTTCCTTGTGGGGACCCATGATGGTTGCATTGAGGGTCTGTATGTAGAGCAAGATGTAACAAATGTGGAGATGCTTGTCTCTGCACAGTTCTCACGTGGACACGAGCTTCCCCTTATAAATCCAACCTTGAGCCCCACCTATCTTCACCTAAACCACACCAGTCCACTGGAAATGCTTTAGTTCGATCGCGAGTTATTGGCCTTGGTAGGTGAAACTCTATGGCCTGTTCTGAGGAGGAGACCACACAACACGATCTTAAGGGACTATTCTGATCGAAGCCTGGAGTAGATTTGTTCTGACAAATTTGAGGCCTGTCAGAGAAGATGTTGGGAGCTATAATGGGTTTAATATAGATCTTCAGTTTTTGTTTAAAGTTTATCATCTCCTCAGTGGCTTGACCATGCACCTCAGACTGGCCTAGTCTCTTCCTTGGATTTCAGTGTGTGGTGTTTTGTTTTAGACTTAAGTGTGTTTTTTGTGAACTTCATAAAGTCCACATGCCCTGATGGGTGCTGCAGAAAGTCTGCCGCAGAAAGTCTGCCTGAGTAGTGCAGGTTTCCTGGAGCTCTTCCTGGCCCGAATGCAGACTGCCACAAAGGTGGGGACAGTAGACAAGGAAGGGAGCGTGTTCGTATGTGGAAGGTAGGAATAAGGATAAAAGCAGCCAATGAGCAAAGAAAAGCAACTTTAATCCAGGGGGTTGGGTAATTGGAGCCACCATTACAGATCTCCAAGGGTTTTCCCCCTTTGGGTTTATTTTGTGGGAGGTGGCTGTCCTTAATTTGTTACTTGTTTCATAGCCGTTTGCCTCAAAGAAGGTAATGATTGAATGGGGCAGGGCTAGAGAAGCCAAGGACCTGTCCACATTAGGGTGAAAGGTGTGCTTTTAAAATGTGGTAGCTATTAGGTTTTAAAATCCTACTGTAGACAGGGCAAACTGTAGGGTGGGGTGGTGCCCAGGGTTCACGCCCAACTAACATCAAGTTCATCTCAACCAACTAACAACTGTTAAACTACAGTAGGGAGCCAACACTGGAATCCTGAGGGGATCCATGTTAGGAAGGAAAGAGAGAAGAAACTCGTGGTGTATGAAACGGGCAGAAACCAGCATACAGGTGAGGAGTAAGCACTGTATGCCATTGATTTTTATTTATTTATTTTTCCTTAATCCAAACTCCCCATTGATTACAGTGTGTGGTTCCGATATAAAATTGTTGGCACCGTAAGACCCTACATTTTTCTTCTTTTTTTGCCCAGTGGACAAATAAATGCTCCAGCAGTGTTTCCAGTAATGATTCAGTTCTATTTACATTACAATTTTGGTTTACTTACAATAGCTCTCATAATAAGATCACTTTCCCTTCGCGCCGTCATTTGTTGATTCAGTTCTGCATACTCCCATCTCCTCTCTCTGCTCTGAAACTTCGGTGTCTCAAGTGAAAGGATGTTACTTTTTGCTTGCTGGTCAGACAATCTTTAAGTGCTTTTGAGGCTTAATCTCCCTCCCTAACTCCAAAAGACCCTGGCTAAAAGCTCAAAACTTTTAACTGGGGGGGAGGAAATGAGTTTGATAAGCCAGTGGTTCTCCACCAGTGGTATGCGAACCCCTGGGGTATTTCAGTGAATACATCAACTCCTCTAGATCAGTGTTTCTCAACCTGGGGGTCATGGGACGGGTTTAGAGGGGTTGCAAGTGCAGGGCCGGCATTAGGGGGTGGCAAGCAAGGGTGCCCCATGAAGCTAAATTACGTGCTTCAGCCCTGGGTGGCAGGGCTTGGGCGTTAGACTCCTGAAAGGGGTACAGTAGTCTGGAAAGGTAGGGAAGCACCGCTTTAAGCAATTTCTGCAAGACCAAGGTATAATTGCAGAGAATAATAGTAGGTTATATGGAGTTTAGTGTTAAATCCAGTTTGTGTAATTTTTCAGTACAGTTCTAATCCCTTTATAATAAACTCGGTTTTAGCTCCTGTCAATCGAGAGGAAATCCACTGACAAATTTCATCAGCACGTAGGAGGATAGTCTGGTAACATTATCTCTGAGATCCTCAGTTTCAGAAACACTAATCTTTGACAGTACATCATAACTGCTGGATTAGCTTTTACAGCTTGGCCTTGATATAGTACTTGTATGCTTGCTGTATCTGAAGAATCTGAATGGTGGAGTTATTATGCTATAGGTTACGACTGGTAACCTGCAGGCAGTGAGTGTAAACAATAATAGGTCGGGTAAAAACCTAAAATAGCTCATTTATTATTTTATCTAATAACTCACTTACTTTATGGTATCTGGAGTGATACTGTGGAAAGATAGATTTCTTCATAACTAATGTTTAGAGGCTAAGAACAGCAACAAAACGACGGTAAATGAAAACCCTTTAAACACAGGCTTTTCCCCCCACCTACTGGTTTAAATCATAAAAGGACTTTATGATGTGAAGCTAAGAGAAGAGCAGAGTTGCAGGGGGTTGGGAAAATGAGATTTTTAACTCCAGTTTTCTTTCTTTCTCTTGCAAGGTTTTCAAAATGCCGGTAGACTAGTATCAGTGAGTGGGAGTCTTATCAAGGTGCTCTGTACTGTGCCTTGGGGTGGCATGAATCACTCGTGGTGTGGTGGAGGCTGCTAACATAATGTATGTTGTTGGAAAAGCAGATGCAAGACTGGAAGTACTTAAATGTCCGTTTTTAAATTACTGCTGGCATGAATCACAGCAGCCATGCATCTTCCTCCCTTTGGCATCAAATGATCTTTTATAAATATATTTGGAACAACTTGTTGCCTGTGGTAGATTAACAGCTCAACTATTAAAGGGAAGATGGGCCAACTGGGATGAATGGGGCTTTTTTTTTTCTTTTGAACACTTTGTATATCTATAATGTACCTCATCTGTTGCTTCAACTCTACTCTCTTGTCTTATCTCTTGTGTCTGCCACAGTCTCTCTTCTTACTTATGTAAGTAACTTACTGTCAGCAGTTCTGTTAATGTTTAATAAAAAAATAACAACCCAGGTCCCAAGCCTGCACTGAACTCCGCTTCTGCAGAGCACAATGCAAGTTCGGGGTCTCACTTGCATGTTCCGTTTTTCTCTCTGGGTTGATTGCTTTAAGCAGAGTCCCATTTGGTTCCGAACAATCTAATAATGACAGGGGTGAATGCAGGGTTGAAATCTGAGAAGCACCGAGATCCTATGGTTTTCTGCTGCTGACTCTGGCCATCTGCCCATTCCTGAAAACGCTGATCAATAAGGAAAGGAACTGCTAACACAAGGGATGGCAGAAATCCACTGGCGGGGAAGGAGAATTTAACAGTTATATAGAATCTTTGGCCCAAAATCTGCTTTGTTGCCCCCAGGGGAAAATTGTGAGCCTCCCCACTGGGCATCCGGAGTCACTCCAGTCCAGTGACTCTGTGTATAAACAGGGTAATGGAGAGCACTAATTGTCTCTTTGGTCACTCATAACCTGAGCCTAAAACAAGCGTATAGGTGAATATTAGGAGTGATTTGTGAAATCCTTCATGGGGTGGGTGGTGAGAACCCTGCACCGGACTTGAAGCTGCCAAACAAGGAGAATATTCTCTCCGAATACAGGCCCTGATCCTGCAGGCTGTTTCCCATGGGGGAGCCCCCACTGAAGTCCTAATACTTTTTCACAGAGTCCGACTGAATGAACTCATTCCTCTACTTCTTTAAAAGCTCCTTTTCCATTATAAGGCAGACGTCATCACACACACATCCTGGCTTACGAGAACAGCCGGCCTTTTCAGAGATCTGAAACTCAAGGTAGCTACCAGGAGAGCTGCCACTAATACCTCCGAGGAGGTGGAACTGCTTTTAGACTTTACGTCTTATCTATTGCCAGATCAGTTCCTATAATGCTGTATGTAAGTAGCTCAGTCTGTCTTGTGTGACTGGAAACTGAGTGTCCAGTGTGCAAAGCATTTTAGACATGAGAGTATGATCATTAATTCCTTGTCTTTATAGGTTTTTTGCAAGAGTGAAAACCTAACAGGAAACTGAAAAAAATAGTTCTGGCGAGTAAAGGTTAATTTCTGAAGAGCAAAATATGCACCACAGGCTAACTGAGATTTCCTCCTTGTTAGTGAATTATAGCATTAAAATATTCACATTCTTTCCTGAAAGCTTTAGGAATAATTATACAGCCCTTAAAGGCCAGGCATTGCCAGATAAACTTAACAACACTATAATTTGTACTGGAGGCAGAGTTTCCTGTGAATGATAGTTTTGTTTAATTGTGTAATGCCGCTTCAAAATGTGTGCTGGTGAGGGGCTGTCAAGTAAATTGGACCTGTGAATTTGCGACATTATTTTGTATAGCCTAACAGCAGTTTTTAGTGTCTTAACACTTCGCACTGGACAGCCTTTTGTTGACTGCTCCAAGTTATCCTTTCCTGTACTTTGCCATGAACCGTTAACTACCTGAGTGAAATACATGGAGCTGGCTTCTGCCTTGTATTGTAAGAACTCCCTTGTGCTGCCCTGGGATATTTGTCTACTGTGGTTTTTGAGTTTGAGACCAGGAACGCTGAATAGGCTCAGTACACATATTTTATTTCCATTACCCAGAGTAAGAGTCATGCTTAGTTACAGCCAGAAACACTTCACCAGCTCTGGGGATAACAAGATAGCTGACAGACTGGAATGCAGATTTATCAGGGGCAAAAACTGACAAAATTCCTCATTCTGATTCTTTTTATATAGGCCCTTCATTCTCTAGCTATACATGCATGCAACAAGTGTTAGTGTTTGTGGACAGCACAAAGGGTTGTTAATAGGCATGTACAGCAGAGTTTAATGTGGGATTTCTGTGATTCAGCTGTTCTACTTCAGACAGTGGTTTGGCTTGTGTGTGTGTGTGTGTGTGTGTCCCTTCCAGAACCATTTTAAGGGTTTTTATTTTAAAGAGCAAGTCTTTGCTCCAGATGTCTGGGTGTACGGCCACACAATGTACATTTTGCTGCATGTTGCCTTTGGACTGGTGGTTAGGGAGGCTACTGGGCAGTTTAAAATAGGAGTTTTGTGGTATGAAATCAACTTCCTTGGGATTTGATTCACATTCATTCTCTCCCCCCCACTCCCCCGAGGAAAATGGTTTATTGACTTCAGTTACATTTTGACATAGGCCTGTTTTTTTGCTTTTAGTAGTACCTGGAAACAACTGGATTTCTTTTAAATAATTGGAGCAGCTTACACTGTCTTATGCAGAACAGTTTAATCACAGAAAACACACATTAAGCTTTGCTATACTTGTTTTTAAACTGAGATTCTGTTCTGATGTCTGATGAAGTGGGCATTCACCCACGAAAGCTTATGCTCCCAATACTTCTGTTAGGCTTAAAGGTGCCACAGGACCCTCTGTTGCTTTGTTCTGATATCGTGAGCAATTCACATATAGAAAAACATGAGAACCTTTCTTTTTAAAGTTAAATAAATAAATATGGATCAGTGAATCAAAGGAGATAGGTCTGGTAAACCCAAATCAAAATATAAACCTTAGGTCTGGTAAACCTAAGTATAACTTACCCCCAAGCTGGCAATGTTCAAGGGTGAACTCTGTAGCTTCAGTGAATTTCCAAAATTCTCATTGAGTAACTGTTACTGGACATGTAAATTTTGCTATATATTAATCCAGAACTTGAGGCGATAGAGAGGTTCCAGTCTCTCTTCTCTTCTTTTAATGAGCGCATAAATAGCTGTGCAAGTGACTGTGTTGTCTTGTGCTGGTGGTTATTTTGGTGGTTATGCCTCATGACTGAACGAGGAATGAGGAGAACTGCACCTTTATTTTTTAAAGTATGTCTGTTTAGGAATTGGATGAGGCTTTGTGTGTTGGAAAATATTGAGGTGTGAAAACAGCGTGGAACAAAATATAGGGTTTCTCATTATGTACTAGTAGCAGGAACAAGAGCTTAAATTGTTTGCTTACCTGAAGGGCATGGGTCAGTTCTTATCTGTGCTTCAAGACTTTTTTTTATTCTTAATGCAAATATACACACTTCTTGTCATAAAGTGTCAAGGCCAAGAAATCCTACTCTTTCCCCCTGCTGGGTAGGGGAATGGAGAAACTGATAAAAATGAATTTTCTATGCACTGCTCACAGCAATTTCATGTTGTATCCCTCCCAAAATGTACTAGTGGTCAGCGTTTGGATTTACATGAAATGAAATTGAGAGCTCCTTGCTCCCCTCCCCTCCCAATTGTTTGGCTTGGTAACTGTTTCAGGCTTTTGACTGCAACAGCAAATGGCAGGAACAACTTCTGTCATTCAGACAAAAGAAGGAAAAGTTGTTCCAATGACTGGTAATGCCACAGCAGTAGAATTTCCAATATAAGCCTCTGTTGTCCAGGGTTTATAACTCGGCTATAAAAACTCAATGGGCTGAAACTTGGCATTGGATTTATTTAATAAGTGGAAAAAATTGATTTTTAGCAGGTGTATACCTATTCCACAGGAACTGTGTAGCTGGACTGTCATACTC